GTTAATTTAATCTTTTTGTATATAAAATTATAAAAGATTGATTCCACAAACATTTCATTGAAACAAAAAAAACATAATTGTAATCCAACGCTGCACATCGAGGCAATGTGAAAGATACTCTTTGAATAGCTTGCCTTCTGGGCAATGTAGCTATCACCTCTTAGGTCACTAGTAGGTAACCTGGAAGAGCTGCGCTGAAATATATGTACGTCAAAATATTTTAGCTTCTGGACTCTGTGGGTGGTACGGCAAAAGGTAAAATCTTTATTTATATGCCCACCCAATTCGACACTACATATACACACTCTTTGTGTCAAGGCAGAAATATCGGGAAATTAATAAAAATAAAAAAAAAACAGTATGATCCCGTAATTTCTTGTTTTACGTGTAATTGGCCAAAGACAATATTCGTGAGTCGAAACAAATTCCTTAATCTATACATGTAAATAAAATTGGAGTGTCTGTTTGTAATATTGAAATAATCGTTTTTTACCACATACATATGAGTGTAAATACGGTACATACATCAAAATAACATTTTTTTTTCAATTTTTGTCTGTCTGTCTGTCTGTTTGTTCCGCTTGTGCTAATCTCTGAAATGGCTGGACCTACTTTGACGGGACCTGTATTGGCAGGTAGCTGATGTAATAAGAAGTTGAATGATGGCTACTTTCATTTTAGAAAAAGTCTGTAATTATTTTTTTGTTAAATTCCACGCGGATGAAGTCGCGGGTATAGCTTTGTGGCGACTCGTTTTTTTTTATGAATCTGCATATATTAATACGTGATGCAAAAACTTTGTACCCTATTTTGCGAAAATTGTGCTGACGGAGAAGTACGAAATTTCGCACACTTATTGTTTATGTAGAGAAAGAGTACAGAATACTATTTTTTTTTAAATTATAATAATAATAATAATCTCAGGACAATTTACACAGCGCCATCTAGACCCAAGTTAAGCTAGCTAAAGCTTGTGTTATGGGTACTAGATAATTGATTCATATACATATTTTTTTATGTAAATACATACATATTATACATAGAGAACACCCACACCGATACAAACAATCATGCTCATGAATACAAATGTTTGTGCCGTGCGAGGAATCGAACCTGCGACCATCGGTCGTAAAGCTGTGTGCTAAACTGCTAGATCACCGAGGTTGTTAATTATGCATAAAAAATACATTACACTACCATGTAGGGAACATATACACGTAAAGTCTTTAGCGATAGAGCCTTAATTAAACAAACCAAACTATTATAAAAGCCAAAATTATAATTTAAATTGATTATGGTCGCATTAGACAACTGGACGGCTACTAGTTCTTACAAAATATTATAGTAATAAATAAATACTTAAAAAAAACTGAATATTACCTGCCTACTGAGGCAGGCTACTTATCAGGATGCTATCTGATGTCTATCTGTATTAATTAACTGGTTTTGAATAATTTACTTAAATTATGATATAATTATGATTAGTTGCAGTATCTCTGATTATTAATTCTCACGATTCCGGTAACAACTTACATTTAACTTAATGATTTATTTTATGGTGTACATATGATTTTATGGTGAGTCACGGATTGCATCAACTTCTAATAAGCGGTAATATAGAGTCATGTGTTACTTCATCTTTAATATATTCCATCTAATTCCAGATAAATAATTAATGGTTAAGTATACTTAGTTTAAAGAAACGAAAGTTACCATTAAAATAACCTTTTCAAATTCTCTTTAGATTTTAAATCAAGAATGCCCTTAAATTGATTTTACGGCCCCGGTGGTCTAGCGATACGATTCGACACCGCATTAATTCCGATAGTTGCGATTTCGATTCTTCGCACGATGCAAACATTTGTATTCGTAAGTAGTTAGTTAGTAGTATATTATTGTTTCTATCTATGTGGGTGTTTTCTATGTATATGTATTTACTAGCTGTGCCCCAGGTTTCACATGCATGAAATTTATAGCCTATGTGTCATTCTGATGTATAAGTTATATTATACATCAGAATTATATTGATGATAAAAAAAATACAACAAGCAGAAGCAAGAAGAAGAAAGTTTCACTACCTGCGCTAGAAATTATTCTGTTCTTTTGTGCGCTCATTGTAGGTATATTTAGAAAATGGACTAATATATGTAATAGATATAAATTAATTACTCAATAGAGTTATTTATATTATTTTGTTTAATTCCGTTTCCGCGCCGAATATTTGTGATCGCACACATGCTGATTGTAGAGGAATTAAACAAAATAATATAAATCCATTCGATACTGAAATGATTTTCCGCAAAAAATCGAATGATAAAATATTCATAAATTATTATAAATCACTTTGCTTAAATTGATTTTATGTTCAGATATAGTTAGTTTGTCGGATAATAAGTCAATTCATATTATTTTTATGTACTATTTGTTTTTTGTGCCATTATTGGTTCTAAAGGCTCCGCTGAAATCAGCGCTGTAGTTTTGGCTGCAGCAATGTGCTGAGCGGACTCGTTTTTACCAAATATTTTAATAGTAGCTAAATATTTTTTTGTTTTTATTATGTTGTTGTACATATGTGTACATGTATGCATATATGCTGCCAATTTAATTCAATCTATAGCTATTTATAAAACATGTTAATTTAAATGTGTGGAGCGCTGGGGTCGGTACAGCCAACGATGGTGGTAATTAAAGGCGCAATATGCAAAACTAACAGTATAAATATATGTCGTAACAAAACTATGTACGAAAGCAAGAGGCAAGAGCAATAATAGAATAATAACAAAACTATAGCAACCAAATATTAATATAAAAATATAAATATTTAAAAATAAGGAATTGTCGTGCCAGCCAGCGGCCCGAATACTGTACAATATTATTATTGCTAAGACAATACTTACTCACTTGTAAGGTATGCTTTAGGTATGAACAAAGTAGGTATACTTGTAATCCAAGTTAGCAATACAGGAAAAACTACGTCACTCCATAAACGTGGTTTATTACGAGTATTACGGATGTATGTTAGGGAAATAGCGACCAAAAGTGTACGAAATAAGTCCTGTAGCTACCGTATTAATTATTTGCGGAATTAAATAATGCAAATTATTAAATTAAATAAAAAATCCTGTGCAATGTTGTCCGATAGATTTCTGTGCAAGACGATGTTATGTGTAAATTTTAATTTTATTTTTTATAATTAATTTTCTTTATAAATTCTATGTAGTAATAAGTGTTAAGTTGTGTAATATGAATAAGAGTCAATCGGGATTTTCATTAGTCGACGGTATGTATAATCTATAATTATATTTATACTACACATGCTATTATTTAATTAAGTATAGATATTATAATAAAATTTCGATATTATATTTAATTTTTAAATTAATTTCTTTTAATAATTATTAATACGCAGCTGGATTTAGTATATTTTTTTGCCTTTATATTGATAAAGTTATTAAAAATAAAATATGTTTTAATGGACATCAAGTACGGGTCACCTCTGATACTTGTGTATTCTAAATTATTATATTTGTATCATTGCTACGAAATGCAACAAACTGGAAACTATTACAAATAGACGCAAAGTAATTATAGACTTGCTTAGCAATTAAAAAAAATGCCTTAGTTAAAATGTTCAAAAGTCTTAATGAATTCGGGGTGTTATATACAACTTCATTTGCTCAAACCTACATCTTCTAATTTATGCATTTCCAGATTATTTTAAATAAAATATAGACTATGTCTATATTCGTAATACAATGTATAAAAACAATGTATTCATGTTGCTCAGCCGTTTAGTCGTAGCAAACAGACAAACATATTTTGTCATTTATAATATCAGTGTGGATTCTAAATTTTAGAATGAGCTTCTTTGTTTTCTTTTCATCGTCTTAGCATATCAAACATAATCAATTTTTATGAAAAATATACGCATAATGTTTGCGCAGTGGACTGCAGTAAGCTGACGATGATGATCATGATAATGAATGTTTGTGATAGAAAAGTTCCATAACACGAGGAAAGAATCGCAGTTAAAGCTGTACTAGCTTTAACCGCGGTAAAAAAGTATTCCTAGTATTAAATTCCCCATTACGCTGTCATTACAATACGCAACACGTGCGTGAACGCTTGTATGTCTTGGAGAATAACGTCACGTATTTTGGATACCATGTACTTTATTTCCTAGAATTGTTAAATATAGATAGAGCTTATGTATCTCATAGACAATAGAACAATCTATTGTCTATCTATGAATTCATTACATAGTGCCGTATATATTTTTATCATTTCCAATAAACTATACAACTGTTTTTATTCGTATATAAAATAAACTAAATAATAAAGTAATAAATAAATAAACCATACATCTGTTTGTCACTTTTGTACCCTTAAACTACTTATAATCATTTCTCAAGTAAGAGATAAAAAAGGACTAGTCGAATTGCTAATACTCAGCAGACGAATTAGTAGGCATCAACTAGTATTGTTGAAAATATTAAAATATACTACATTAATTATAACAAATATTATAAATATGTGCATATCATCCAATTTCAGAATTTCCCCATGTCCTCTCTGTCACATTTAAAAAGAAATTTAAGACTTGATTTCATCTCTATAAAACCATTTCAAATGAAACTACACAAGATATTACTATTATTAAGATATAATATAGATATATAGGAAATGGATATCGCGTATTAAAATATCAATTATATAAATGGCCTACATTTATATAATTGATATTTTAATACGCGATAATTGATATAAAAATACTTGATTTGGGTAATATTATGTTATCTGTGATTTGGGTAACTTATGGACGACAGAACATGTATGATATATTTCTTTATTAACAAAAACAAAAAAAAAACATTAACTCATATTAAAAAAAATAAAAATTCACTTTTGACACCTACATATTGCATGTATAAACAGATTGATGTAACTTATTGGGTATTGTAAACATTGAAATAAAATTATATTATAATATTAATACTCACCAAAAACAATCCGTTGAAAACAACCAATAGATATTTTATGCATTTCATTCCGCAGCCCTCCATTTTTGTAAATTTTCAAATACACCACAGATTAGCTAAACTTTGTTTTTGAAATCGAACGCCGCGAGCTAAGGTACTCAATTCGAAATTCGAAAATACGTTCCGTTCATACGTTCGCGCGGCGACGCGGCGCGTAATGTTGTGACCGTCGTCGACGTTGGGCGAATGCGGTAAGCATCAGTCTAGTCCTGTATTTAGTACTAGACTGCTTTGATGGTGTGAAGTTGCGTGCTGGGGTCGTAGTCACGCATGAACACCACCCCAAATCGCGTGGACCCCCAAATTTGATGTCATAAAAGCCTGATAGAGATCATAATTAATTGGTTATGCTGACTGGCGATCGGTTATTGGTCTTCATTAGGTACCAACAGAGACCATTAACCGACCGGTAATGCGGCTGTAATGTAATAAATTTATAATTTAAAGAGAGAAGACATTTTAATATGAGAACATCTATATTCATATTTATTGCCTTTATTTATTTTGACATAATTCATAATTTAAGTAGATGGTATCGAATTCGATCCCCATACAATATAAACTTTAAAATTATATTTGTTGATATTGTTCAGGGTTCTTAAGTTTACCGTTTACCATCAGATGCGCCGTAAGTTTGATTGTCACCATATTATAGAAAAAGTATGCACGGAGCAGACATGTGGTTAAACCTTATTTTACTGTTAATTATTTACATTAAAGTTAATAACATAATATAGTTTGAATATATGGCAATGAAATAGATCGATTCCATTCATTCAAATTGATCGTCCTCGTGATAGACAATCTTAATGGTCATCTATATATATATATGTCCAGCATCATAGACAAAAATTTTATAACCCATTACAAGTACATGAAAAAGAAAACCAAAATTAAATCTAAGGAAGTAAAGAAACAAAGGCCTTCAACAGAATCGTAAAAATTAAATGTTTGATAAAATAACTATAATACTTCATTTTTGGTTAAATGTTTGCACACATAGACAAAACGTTTAAAATGAAAATGCATACATTATCTTGCAGATATTGCCACCCAAAAAAATTGCTTACTCGTACTTTCTTATAAATGTTACCAACCTATACTCATAATGCTCGCATCACGACTATAGGTTGGTATAAGATTATTGAATGTGCATGTTATTGAAATGATTGTTTCCAAGAACGAACAATGCGTTCTATTTTTAAACGACTTTAAAAAAGTAGGAGGTTCTATATTCGAACGCTATGTACTTGTTCATTGAAGTCTTCGTCAATTATAGACTGTTTTTTAAGCATGATATATTCACGGAGTATTCTCATTGATTCATCCCAGTGTAATTGATATAAATATTTGAATATTATGACAGGTATTCTATGTTGGAGCTTTCTAGTTAAATTGTTTAAGCATTTGCGTCCGAGAATTATTAATATAGTTGTAACAAATGATTTGATTTTTAAATAAACAACATTATGCAATCATTCGAAATTACTACTTATTTGCCTAAAGATAAAAATTTTAATGAGTTATTCATTTTTTACTCTTATTGCAAACTGTTTAGCGACATTGCCTCTTTATAGTATTCCATTTTTAAATTCCGTTTTGATAAGAGTTTTGTTAATAACGTATGTGTTATTAGAACCCATATCCGACAATCAAAATACGTGTCTACACGTTTTTATGTCAAAATAGAATTTAAAAATGGAATGTAAAACATAGGTAAAGAAAAGTCGCTATACGATTTGCAATAAATGTAAATTACAAAAAAAATAGCTCATTAACATAAAGCAAATTAAAACACATATCATTTCACATATATACAATTGGTTGTCATGGATACATAGTTTAAACCACTACTCAGTGTTTTAACCCCTATAGGGGTTAACAGCTTTTACAGTCCACTGATTTCAGAAGTTCAATGTCTTATTAACTGCCATATATACTTGAAATATAATTCGTTTATATATACACGCTACTCAAGTATTACTACCTAGTAACTAGAATTCTGTTTATCGTTAATTTTTATTTAAACTGTTACCTACTATATAAAGAGTGCAATTTTGTTGAGTTTGTATATGAAGTACAATTTTTAGATCTACTGTACCTATCTGAATATTTTTTTCTGTGTTTTAAAGGTATATATCTATTGCTTTTTTCACACTACTTTACTTCCGATGGTCACGGATTCGATTCCCCGCACGGTGCAAATATTTGTATTCATGAGTATGATTGTTTGTATCGGTCTGGATGTTTACTATGTATTTAGAAAACAAAAACATACTTCTAAGTATTTATATCAGTTATCTAATACTCATAACACAAGTTCTGCTTACCGTGGGTCTAGATGGCGATGCGTTAATTATCTAGGGTTATTAAGTAAGTATTTATTTATGTATTTAAGTAAGTATAAGTACTATACTAGCGCCCTGTTGCTGGCAGTTTGTCCACCATTATTTTTACAATATATTAATATTATTCAGATACCCTTTTTTCTATATGTCACTTTTGACTTCCTTGTTAACCCTCTTGGGAAATAAATATATACACGTACAATTATTACGCAATTTTTATTTAATAGTTGTATAATCATCCTGATCCTGTTACACGCCCTATTAGCATGAAGACATTTCGTGTCGATCAGATATGAACCTACGACCATTCTATATAATTCGGTGTATGAAACCACTACGCAAAGACGCTTTCAAAAAAAATATTTTTAAACAGATAATGAATTAGTTCATTTATAACCCTGATAGAACCTTTGAAGTCATTTCGTGTTGATCAGATATGAACCTATGACCTTTCTATATAAATCGGTGTATCAAACCACTACGCAAGGAGGCTTTCAAAAAAATATTATTAAACGGGTAAGAAATTAGTTGATTTACAGCCCTGAAAGGACCTTAAACTCTAACAAGTAACAATTTTCAACAATTAATTTGGATTATACATCACTTTTTGCGATAACGCGATAGGGCTGTGACGTTAGTATTAATGTCAAGTTTATCGGATCTAGGTTTTTCTTTTGTTACCTGGGTAGTGTACTTGACTTGACTACAGCAGTAGGTAAATACAATATCGTTGAACCTAATACGTATAAGTAGTTACTACTCGTTACCAATGCGGCTATTTTGAACTCTTTTTTATTCATAAAAAAGTTAAAGTTAGATGGAAAGATGTTCAAATATTTCATGATTTTTTTTGCACCAGTTATTACCCACTTAAAACCTATGCCACTGTTTTGGATTAACTGGAAGAGATATCTTTTAGGGACGAGTCCATAGTTACTCACATTGTCTCTAAATTATATTATTAATGTATATTATCATTGTAATAAAGAATATAATTAATACAGCTATTACTCCTCTTACTCTTAACTTATTAAGGCTACTAAGCTTGATACGAGTATAAGTATATGTGTAAGTTTACAAAATTTAATAATTTTACAATTTCTATAAAAACTCGCATGAAGAAGGACATGTCTCCTATTAGATTGTAAAGTTAAAGACAGTTTTTAATCAATAAAAATTATTCATTCTTTATTGTACACACACATAGGAAAACAACAATGATACAAAAAATCTCTCATAAAGAGATTTCTACCAACAAACCTAGAAAATGTTATAGTGTGTTAACTAGATATATGCCAAGACATATACATGTTCGAAAAAGGAGACATTGTAATATTTTGTAATAATAATAACTATAAGAATGAATATGTATACATAAATATATGAATATATAGCCATAGTATACTTTATTCATAATTTATTACACTCTTGTCGGTGGAGCAATTGTCACTTTCCACAATCTTCCATCATGCTCTTTAAATGTTGATACTACACGACTCCCATTTTGCCTTTAATTTGCTTGATGTAGCTGTGCCTTGGTCTTCCTCTCCCTCTTTCCTTCTATTTTACCATCAATAATATTTTTTATAAAATCATTATGCCGTATCAAGTGTCCTAGCATTTCCTTGTTTATTTTCTATAGTATTCAATATCTGCCTCTTTTTTCTTTTACATAAGCTACTTCTTCGTTTCTTACTTTATCTTTCCAGCTAATTCTTTCCATCCTTCTCCAACACTACATTTCAAAAGCCTCCAGTTTGTTCCTTTCTTTTTATATCATCATCATCATCAGCTTACTGCAGTCCACCGTTGGACATAGCCTCTCCCAACGCACGCCATTGGGCACGATCTTTTTATATACAGAAATTGTTAAATAAATTATTGCGCAAATTCACGCCCCGTTGCGAGATTGCAACCCGCCAATCAGTGATTCACGATAACGTATCAACATTAATGGCGGGTGTAGAATTTAGGAAACATAATTTATGTATGTAGAAGTAAATTACCCCCTTTCTATACGGTTCTATAGAAGGGCATCGTTCTACATAAACACGGAAATTGTTACGTCCTTTACCTTTGGTTCAAGTCGCGAGTATCACTTTAATAGATATCTAAATTGTTAGAATTGACTTTTCTTTAATCAAACATTAAACTAAAATACCATACTGATCATCTGAATCCCGGTCCTTCACAATGAGGTTTTCTAGAAACTTTTTGCCACGCACAACCACATTGTGGAATCACCTTGGAATGGTATTTCTGAACCGATATGATATTAAAACCTTCAAGAAAAGAGCAAATTCTTTTTTAAAAGAAAGTCAACGCATTCGCATTTCCCTTGGTTTTGCGGGTGCTCATAGTCGGCGATAGTACGAATATAAATAAATAAAAAAAATATATTTTTTATTTAATAATATATTCTTAGATGGGTTAGGTTTTGTCTAATGACTATATCAAGACTCGATCATTATAAAATATAATTAGGAAAACCTTGGAATCTTACGTTTTATATATAATCTAAAATAAATAAAACGTGGTGAGAAATTTCCTAATTTTATGTATATACCATGGATATTTTTCAACTATTTTTCAAATAGTTGAAGCCATAAAAGTATTATTCTACCCACTATAAATTTATAATCTTAGAAAGATTATCTTACACAACATTCTTACTACCCGCTCTCATCATTCGTCGCTAAGACCACGTCTTTCATGCAACACTGTCTCGTGTCTTTCTGTTTGGAATCTTATCACGACTAAACGGCTAATCTCACTTGGACCTCAATGAATAAATTATATTCTGACGAAGGATATTGG